ATGATTATCACTGTTGTATTGTCATTTATAGCTACCTTTATGTAACATTTTAAATTAAGCATCTTAATACATTATTTTATTTAATCCTCGCAACAACCTTACATAATGTCCTCCTTTCACTTTAATGGTGAGGAAGCAAAGTCTCAGAAAGGACATCTTGCCCATGTCCCCATAGTAAGTGGCAGAGAGGGGAAACAGAAGCCGACCTGTCTTCAAAATCAACCTCTTTTCCCCCCAGTTTTATTGAGATGCTGGTTGGACTTACATACACCGTGAAATGATTACCACAGTAAGTTTAGTGAGCATCCATCATTTCATAAAGCGAAGTCAGACTGTTAAGTACTTCATCATACTTCTGCCCAACTCAGTATGATTAATGCTGTGGCGTATACTCTCCCAGTTCCCTGGATTTGTATTTAAGCAAAATCATTCCATTAAATTGGCTGTTTTCTGGGCTGCCCAGGACAAGGGAAAATGGAAGAAAATCTTCTATGGGTCTCAATTATCCTAGATAAAAATAAATTTCCTGTGATTTTACTTTAACACTGATGGTATAGAGCAGACCTGACACCAGAATATGCCTTTGTCTCCAGAGTGTGTGTTAGTTGCTCAGCCATATTTCCTATTTAGGTAGAAAAAGGGAGGGAGGAAACCCATGATGCTGAATGTTCACTATGCACCAGGAACCATGCTCAACTCTGTCTGTGTCTCAGTCTTCATAATAGCACTTCACAGTAAGTATATCACAAGTAGGTTTGGCTATACTTAAGACGGACCCCAAAAATGATGGCTTAAGCAACAAGAAAATTCTTTTTTTTTGCAACAAGAAAATTCTTGTCTGTCTTTAAGGCCCTTAGCTGGAATGGTGTCTCTTCCCTATTAAGTCCTTATAGATCCAGACTTCTTCCAGTTTTCTGTTCTGCCATTCCTTTGTCATACTTGTCTTCAACTGTCCAGAACAGTCCTTCGGCCATCACATCTACATTCCACACAGTAGGATGGAGGAAAAAGAGAGAAGTTATCTCTTAGGGAAGATTCCTAGAAGCAACTCTGGACACCACTGTTACATCCCACTGACTATTAACTTTTAGTCACAGGGCCACACTGAGCTGCAAGGGAGGCTGGGAAATAAGTGGCTTTACACTTAGCTAAGTATTATGTTACTACAGGTGAAGAAATGGATATTAGGGGACAGTTGCCAGATTGTGCCATAGAAGATATTTTCTTCTTCATTTCAGGTTAGAGAAAACTACAAAACGTAAAGTGATGTCATATAGCCACTAAAGTGCAAGCTGGTGCTCAACCCAGGTAAGTCTGCTTGCTGCTGCATTGTATGATCACTTAAACAGCACAGGTGCTCTGGCTTAGGTTAATCAACAACATAGATTAACAGATGGGTTGAAACATTGTCAAAAAAAATGCCCTTTCTCCTGACCTTTGCTCCACGTTTAATTCCATTTTGATCAGTCAGTGTCTTCCTTGTATCCAGAACTAGTTAACATTCCCTTGGCACACTAGTTAAGATTAATTTCAAGTTCTTCGTGGTGAAGTTATTGGAGACTCAGCACTCTCTAAATTTAAATTTATTTCTAGCCATTAGAATATGGGTAGAGATGATGTAGACCATTTCTAGATGTGGCCCATTAGACCTCCCAAGAGCTCCTCCATACTCTCATTCCTTCCTTTCGACAGCTCTGAAGCCTGCATGTTGGAAATGACAGACATACAGGGTGGGAAGCACCAATATTTCCAGATGACTAGGTGGAGCTTCTCGGATCGCTCAGCTGGTAAAGAATCTGCCTGCAATGCAGGAGATCCCAGCTCAATTCCTGGGTCGGGAAGACCCCCTGGAGAAGAGATAGGCTGCCCACTCCAGTATTCTTGAGCTTCCCTGGGGGCTCAGATGGTAAAATATCCACCTGCACTGCAGGAGACCTGGGTTCTATCCCGGGGTTGGGAAGATCCCCTGGAGGAGGGCATGGCAACCCACTTCAGGATTCTTGCCTAGAGAATCCCCAAGGACAGAGGAGCCTGATAGCCTACAATCCACAGGGTCACAAAGAGTAGGACATGACTAAGCACAGAACAGCTGGAGAAACCCCCCACCACCCCATTTTCTGGCACTAATTGGTTTACATGTTCAGTTCAGTCGCTCAGTCATGTCTGACTCTTTGCGACCCCATGAACTGCAGCACACCAGGCTTCCCTGTCCATCACCAATTCCCGGAGCTTGCTCAAACTCATGTCCATTGAGCCCTTAATTCCATCCAACCATCTCGTCCTCTGTTCTCCTCTGTTCAACCACCCCTTCTCCTCCTGCCTTCAATCTTTGCCAGCATCAGGGTCTTTTCTAATGAGTCAGTTCTTCACATCAGGTAGCCAAAGTACTGGAGCTTCAGCTCCAACGTCAGTCCTTCCAATGAATAGTCCAGACTAATTTCCTTTAGGATGATGGTTGGATCTCTGCAGGTGAAAAATAAATTTGTATTGTTTGAAGACATTCATTTTGAGACTAATCTCAAAATAATGCTCTAACTCTAAGCTGTCCAGTGCAATACCCACCAGCCAAATATGACTATTTAAGTTTTAATTATTATGACTATTGTGCAATTGAGATGTGACTAGTGTAACTGAGAAGCTGATTTTAATTTTATTTAACTTTTAATAAATTTAAAGAGCCACCTGTGTCTAGTGGCTACCATACTGAACATTGTAGATACAGAATATGTCCATCATCACAGAAAATTCTGTTGGATAGCACTGCTCTAATTAATAAAGTAAACTTATTGAGAAAACTCATTTTTAAAATAAACTCCCCTCCCAACCAAAACAAAAACAGACAGAAAACCTCTCTACCTCTTTAATAGCTAATTTCCCTCTGCCTAAAAGAAGACTCAGGGAATTCCCTAGTGGTCCATACGGTTAGGACTGTGAACTCTTACTGTCAAGGGCCTGGGTTCAATCCCTGCTTGGGGAACTAAAATCCCAGAAAAAGTAGACTTGAAACACTTCTTTCTTGCACTGTTACCTCTACCAGCCATTGCAGGGACAAGCTTCCTGTCCTGCTCCTTCCTGGCTTTGCTTCACTTGAGTTCAATTAATTAGGATGAACCAGTGGTCTTAAACTCCTTGCAGTCTGACTTTCTTCCCCACTACTTGCCTGTAATCATGATGTGCTTGGCAAGAGGTCGGGCCACATCACGCTCCCCAGTGTCTACTAAATGGTTCTTTCTGGATATACCTTTCTCCCAAGCTTGTTTTCACTCTTTAGCAACTCAAGGTCACCACACGTTTCAGCGACATCTCACCAGACAGACCAGGTCACCTCTGAACTATTTATGCCGAACCTGAGATCAGTCATGTTACCATTGTTGTCCCATCAAAATAGCTGCAGCCTTTTTCATGTGACAGAAGGCATTCCCATGTAGGCAAATATTAAAGGTAACATGAATCTTTGTGCTCAAGCTCAGAATTAAAGAAAAATAAATTCATTAGGAGGCAGTCCCAGTACTGAGCAGAAGGGCTCTACTCACGAGCTAATTTGTATGCAAGTCAGAGTCCTGTGAGAGAACTCTCTGCCAACTTGCTAAAACTGAGCAGAAGAATTTGGAGACAGTCCAGAGGAGAGCCACAGAAACAGCCAGAGCATGACAAGAATAATTGCAGTCCTTTTAGAAAGAGGCTGTCTATATCAGGCTTTTACTGAGCACCATGTGGAATGTTACAAGGCAAAGCGTGAGGGACAGCCGCTGTGGATCCTAACAAGAGATGGCAGAAGAAGTGAGAACAGGTGGGAGATCAAGAATTAGGTTTGAGTTAGGGGGAAAGTCAGGGTGGTTAAAGATAGGCTTACCTTCATCTCAGCTGAGGAGGGGGAAGCCTCCCCCCACAGCTTGCATAAGGGCTCCCGCCTACCCGCATTCCCAGGGAGCCATCTGACAGGGTTAAACTTGCAGTAAACTATGTAACTTGAATTTTGCTGCAAGAAGCTTCTAAGTATGTGGTGCCAAGTGAAAGTTGCTCAGTCACGTACAACTCTTTCTGACCCCATGGACTATACAGTTGCTCAGTTGTGTCCAACTATTTGCAAATCCATAGTCCATGGAATCCTCTAGGCCAGAATACTAGAGTGGATAGCCTTTCCCTTCTCCAGGGGACCCTCCTAACCCAGGGATAAACTGCATTGCAGGCAGATTCTTTACCACAAGAATCTTGAGCCACAAGGGAAGCCCCAAAACATGGTAAGAATGGAAAGTAAAAAACAAAAGTTATAAGCCAGTACAGAAGTGTAATTATCTAGAACAACCTAGCAATTTAATTTTCTTGAAAAATGCAACCAGAGTTCAGACTGCAGTAACCAAGGCAGGTTAACTAGGCTGATGACAGGTATAATTAATTGGAAACTGCAGGCATGAATATAAATCTGAACATGACCGACAATTTGAAGCATAATAAATGCTTAAATGTGATAGAGAGGAGTCTACAGGCTAAGCCATCACACCAACAACTCTGCAAACCAAGGGCTTCACAAATTGCATCAGAACCTGGCCTTAGTCCTATTTTGTTTCTGGCATAAGATTAGAAGGGCCTTGTTGGTTCAAGTGTTCCATGGACAGAGCAGGACAAACTGTCAGAGAGTTGGTGTAATGTTTTAAAACCACTGTCACTGACTGTACTACTTTCTCAAATAAGTTTGTGGATATTAAAAATATTGATATATAAATGCAATGCTTTCCAATTTCTTTTTTTTAACTTTTTTTTTTTGCCTTTTTTTTTCTCTTTTTCAAGTCCAGTTTCCCTGAATGAACACAAATATATAGATATATATATCCTTTTCCTAGGTTTGATTCCTCCTCCAAGAATAAAATAGAATATTTACAAAACAAGCCCCGCCCACCACTGGTGCTCTCGTCCTCACTTTCCTGGCGCTGGGTGACATTGAGCTCGCCCGTGCCACTGCTGGCTTTGGGGCACTGTGCTGGTCAGCGGAGTAGGCGGCCATGGGAAGCCTCCACGGCCTGCGCCTGGTGGCTGGAAGCTGTCTTAGGTCATGTGAAAGAGATGCTTTCTCATCTTTAAGGCTTACCAGAAACTCTGATTTGAAGAGAACAAATGGATTTTGCAGCAAACCCCAGGAAAGTCCAAAGCCTCCAACCCACACTTACAGCCACAGAGTGCCACTGCACAAGCCTACGGACTGGGAGAAGAAGATTCTAATATGGTCAGGTCGCTTCAAAAAGGAAGATGACATTCCAGAGACTGTCTCGTTTGAGATGCTTGATGCTGCAAAGAACAAGGTCCGGGTGAAGATCAGCTATGTAATGATTGCCTTGACAGTGGCAGGATGCATATTGATGGTTATTGAGGGCAAGAAGGCTGCCAGAAGAAATGAGACTATAACAAGCCTGAACCTAGAAAAGAAAGCTCGTCTGAGAGAAGAGGCTGCTGTGAAGGCCAAAATAGAGTAGCAGATATATTGGTGTTGGTTGGATTTTGAAGATCTAGAAATAATGCTGCAGCAATAGGCCTTACTAAAAAGAATGTGGTATATGAGCTTCCCTATTTCCACTCTAGAGCCACAAATAAATTTTCTTAAAGAAAAAAAAAAAAACAAAAACAAAAAAAAAGAATATTTACAGAACAAAACCCCTAAAACCTCTTTAAAACCCTATAGAGTTTGAATTTCACTATTTATTTTAAAAAAACAACAACAAAGTTTCTGAAAGCAATAACAAAAAAAAAATTCAACTGATCTTGGCTCAGGGGTTTCATTCAACACGAGGAGCTAGGTGTGGTGAGTGTGTGACAAATGGACAAAAAAAATGCAAAGAAAAAAAAACAGATAAAAATGAAAAAACACAGTGCAGGGATGTATGAGGTAAACAGGATTGGCCTGTTGAAACCAGCCACCAGTCCATGTGGGTCCACCAGGGCTGCAGGAGAACCCTAGTAGACATTTGCCTCTCTCATCTCTAATTTCCTTTGATATTCTCACAACTCATCTCTGAATGTCCAAAACCTGAGTAATGCAAGTGTTCCTTGATTTTCCTGGTTTTATTAAAATTTCTTTATATATATATGTATATATATTTTTCTTTTCTTTTTGGCATTAAGCTGTCACTCCTCTGTGGATACCTCCCCTCCCCACCCATATTTTCCACCATCCCAGCCCCTGCTTGGCCCACCTGGACCCCCCTACCCAATCTGGCAGGTTCCCAGGGAGGTGAGTGTAGTGGTTAAGGCAGTGAGTTGTTTGAGGTAGATGTGGGGGGTGCAGACATCCCTGCTGGCCCTGCCTGGCTGCCTGCACTGCTGCTGCTGCTGTTGGTCCTGCTGTTCCCTCCCCGGCTGCCGCCGCCTCCACCTTTGCTGGGAGCAGAGGGTGGCGTGGAGGGCGGCTGGGCGAACAGCACTCCTGTGTACATGATTCCGTTAATCTCTGCTGTTGTTGAGTCACGTCAGTCGTGTCCGACTCTGTGCGACCCCATAGATGGCAGCCCACCAGGCTCCCGTCCCTGGGATTCTCCAGGCAAGAATACTGGAGTGGGTTGCCAATTCCTTCTCCAATGCATGAAAGTGAAAAGTGAAAGTGAAGTCGCTCAGTCATGTCTGACTCTTAGCGACCCCATGGACTGTAGCCTACCAGGCTCCTCTGTCCATGGGATTTCCCAGGCAAGAGTACTGGAGTGGGGTGCCATTGCCTTCTCCCTGTTAATCTCTACTGACAGGCTAATACTGTGGCTGCCATTGGTGCTGGTCAGGTTCACAGCTGAGTCCTCGAGGCTCTCGGAGGCTTGCCTGTTGATCCGGATGCTCATGGGCAGCTATGCCATCATGGCCAGGAAGTTCTGCTGAAGTGCCCACTGCATCAGCCACTGCTGCTCCTCTGCCACCAGGGCTATTTTCTTCTCCGGAGGCCCCCATACTCCCGTTTCTCCCGAAGCTGCTCCAGGGCAGCCGCCTGTGCTGCTACGGCCGCCTGGGCTGCTACTGCCTGGGTGGCCACCACAGGGTGACCTGCCAGGGAGACTGGCAGGCAGCCGGGGACCGTGATGGGGATGGCCGCATCCTCCTCTTTCTTGGTCTTGGGGGCTGGGGTGATGGAGCTGCCGTTGGTGCCGGTGGTCAGGCCCAGGGAGGACACAGGCAGCTTGGGCGAGGACGGCATGCTGTGGGCCCCTGCCAGCGAGTAGGCAAAGAGGGAGCCCCCAAAGCTCTGGTGCCCGCCCTCCCTCCGATTGCTGTCGATGACTGCCTGGAGCTCGTTGGGGTTGCTGAGGCCACGCTTCTCACACTGAGGTAAGGGTACAGGTACTTCATATACTGGGTGCACAGTGTGAAGGCAGCGCTGGTGATGGACGTGGGCAGGTTCAGTCCCTTGGTGATCTCCCGCCACAGCTTCTTGTTGGTGACCTCCACCAGGCCGCCCTTCTCCGTCATCAGCACATACAACATGAACAGGTCGAGCACATGCTTCGCCATGATGGGGATGCGGTTGACAGGTGTCCCTCGCTTCTGCAGGAAACTGAACAAGTTGTCCGGGAACTCCTTCCTCTTGGGGTCTGCGTCCAACTCGTAGAGCTGCTTGAACTGCTCCTCTTACGTCCAGTCCCCGTGGTCTGGTGGCTGCAGCTGAGGTGCAGCATGAGCAGCCCCTCCGGGGACAGCCGGGCCAGTCCCCGGGGGCTCCTGGCCACCCAGTGCCCGGGATCCACTGTCACCGCGGAAGGCCTGGAGCAGCTGAGCGTTGTGGGAGAACAGGGCTGCGGGGCCCAGGCTGGCGGCGCCCGTGGGCCCAAGCCCCTCCTCATGCTCATAGTCCTCATCCTCCTCATCCCCTTCGTCGTCCCCCAGGCCTTCCTTCAGCACCTCCTCCTCCTCCTCCCATTTTGGCTTCAGGTCATCGTCGGAGCCCGCATCCTCAAAGCGGCCATCGCCCGTGGGGAGGCTGACTGCCTCCCTGCCTCGGCCGGGCGGCGTGGGCGAGCCCGGTGCCCCCTCCAGGGCCGCATCCTCATCCTCCGAGCCGGGGGCCCGTCCTCCGAGCTGGGACTGGGCGCATGGCCAAGGCTGGCGGCAGCGGCCCGCGGGGCGGCTAGGGTGGCCATCTGCGCCTGCTGCATCCGGGCGCTCTTGGGCTCCCTGTCACCCTCCAGAGTGGCCCTGGTGCGGGCTGGGGGTTCAGGGGGCCACGGCCTGGAGGCTGCTGGGCCTCCAGTTCTTGGCGTGCCCGCTGCTGCCGCTGCAGGAGCGTCTCCATCACAGCCTGCAGCTTCATAGCCCTGCGGGCCGGGCCGCCCCGGGCACCAGGAGGGGGCGGTGGGGGCGGCCCCTGTCGGGAGGGGGCCCGGCCGCACTTTAGTGTGGGGGCCACGGGGGTGCTGGGGCAGTGCAGGGGGGCAGGGGGCAGGGGCAGGCGCCGCTGGGCTCTGGCCGAGGGCTGGCGGGGCATGCCAGTGGCAGGCGGGCAACGCCTGCTTTCTCATACTGGGCACCGGGGGGTGGCGGCGGCTGGCGGGTGGCTCATTCACGTGTGTACAGAAACCTACTGCCCCAGCCTCACTGCGCAGGGCCCGCTAGGGGGGCGCATGCCCCACGTCTGGTGTCCCGACCTGGCCCGGTCGCCTGGCCTCTGGCCCGGGCCACGAGCTGCGCGCTGCTGGCTCCTGGCCACCGCCGGGTTTGTGCCTCCTTTCCAGTTGCAATAAAATGCTGCTGTTTCCATAAGATGTTTCTTTTCAGTTTGTAATACTTTCTAAATACAACAAAAATTCTCATAGCTTCCACTTTACGAGCTGTTAAATGTTCTGCATAGTATTTGTGGACATATGAAAAAATCATTTTCGTGGTTGCCCATTGAAATGTATATCACATTTCAAAAGTTGGATCAGTATCCTAGAAACAAAGCATTATGTAATTCATATAAAATTATCTAGTGAAAGTTTAACATTTCTGTAGAAATAAAAAGTAGTGCATAAAAATAAAAGCAGAAGGAGCATATCTTTTCAGTATTATGAAGTTAAAAATACCTTAACATATAGGAAACTAGTGTAATTTGGGGGTTAATATTTGGCAGATATGGAAGGGGTATTGTTTTTTCTTTTTTTCTTTTCCCTTTGAAAAAAGACTATAATGGTTTTTATTCTGTGTTCATCTGAGGTTTAAATTGCCCAAGGAAGTTGAATAATATTGATTATTACTGCTTAGGTTCTATATTTCATATGAGAATTATCTTTGCATAAGAAAGATAGTTTAAGGGAAAGACCATAGCCAACCACTTCATCCATAAGAGAAATTATGTTTTGTTCACTTGTATTTTGTTTGCTGAATAACATATTGGTTGTGGAGACTCACAGCATACTTTTCACAAATGAGGATTAAATTGTTTCCATGACTTTCTAATTTTTGACCTATTTCCAGTTCAGTTCAATGACTCAGTCATTACTTTACAACCCCATGGACTGCAGCACACCAGGCCTCCCTGTCCATCACCAACTTTCGGAGTTTGCTCAAACTCATGTCCATCGAGTCGGTGATGTCATCCAACCATCTCATCCTCTGTCATCCCCTTTTCCTCCTGCCTTCAATCTTTGCCAGCATCAGGGTCTTTTCAAGTGAGTCAGTTCTTCACATCAGGTGGCCAAAATGATGGAGTTTAAGCATCAGCATCAGTCTTACAACGACCATTCAGGACTGGTTGCCTTTAGGATGGGCTGGTTAGATCTCCTTGCAGTCTAAGGGACTCTCTGAAGAGTCTTCTCCAACACCACAGTTCAAAAGCATCAATTCTTCGGCGCTCAGCTTTCTTTGTAGTCCAACTCTCACATCCATACCTGACTACTGGAAAAACCATAGCTTTGATTAGACGGACCTCTGTTGGCAAGTAATGTCTCTGCTTTTTAATATGCTGTCTAGGTTGGTCATAGCTTTTCTTCCATGGAGCAAGCATCTTTTAATTTCATGGCTGCAGTTACCATCTGCAATGATTTGGGAGCCCTAAAAATAAAGTCTCTCACTGTTTCCATAATATATTATTTTCACATGGTATTTTCTTGTGTCTCCACTATTGATTGATTTAGGGAAATGATGTGAGTGTGTTTATATGTATGTATCTATCAAAAATTACAGCCCGCACAAAAATCCAAGGTCACAAGTACATTTTAAGTATGTGCATGTGTGCTCAGTCACTAAGTCATGTCCAACTCTTCACAACCCCGTGGACTCAGCCCTCAGGCTCCTCTAGCCATGGAATTCTCCAGGCAAGAATCCTGGAGTGCGTTGCCATTTCCTTCTCCAGGGAATCTTCCCAACCCAGGGACTGAAACGCATCACCTGTGTCTCCTGGATCGGCAGGCCAGTTCTTTACAACTAAGCCACCTACGTTTTAAGTACATTCCTGGTTAAACACATTAACTTTTTATTATAAAACACATATTTAATACTAGGAGAAAAGGGAATAATTAACATTTATAATGAAATGCTTTTCCCAGCCATTTTAATAACTGCAACTCTGTGGAGTTATGTGGCAGAAGTCATGTGAGACTGACTGGAATCTAGGAGCTCCAGCTCCAGAGGAGAGATATTTGGTGCCTAAAAAATTTCCTACCATCTCTTCAGGAAATAGCTCTGTTTTGTTAAACAAAATGAAATGAGTTAGTATGTAGATATAACTTCCTAATAGAAGTATCAAAATGTGGAGAAGAGATGATTCCTTAATATTTGGCAAGTATGTGGTCTGTTATCTAGGACTTTGCGTACACATACACACACACATTCACCCAGCCTTTTTTAACCTGGAATATTTCCACATTAAAGAATACCAGTGTTGGACTTTCTTGGTGGTCCAGAAGTTAAGACTTCATGCTTCCAACGTAGGAGGCATGGGTTTGATCCTTGGGCAGGGAAGTTCCATATTCCATGCGGTGCAGTAAAAAAAAAAAAGAGTATCAGTATTCTTGAAAATTCTAGAGCTGAACAAAAGCTTTAAAAGTATTCTTATTTGTCTTTCAAATATTTGAAGTGCAATTATAGAGTCTTCAAATTCTATCTTTGTAAGACAGAAATTCTTAGCATTGCAGAATTATTGATTTGATCAATGAGAGCAAGTCTGATATATTTATTTTTCTCAGTCCTCTAGAGTTATGTTGTGTTTTTTCTTCAAAGCCCTAAATTCTGACAAATTGCTAGTTTACTTGTTTTATTAAAGTCATAAAAAGAGTGATAGAGTCCAAAATCTCTAGATAATATACTTGTTTTTTTCCATTTTTCCCTGTGTCCCATTATTTTCTCTTGTTCTTATTTAATAGAATGGGTCACACATGAAATAGATGCCTGTATGCTGGTGGATCAGATGGTAGAGAATCCGCCTGCAATGCAGGAGACCTGGTTCAATCCATGGGTTGGGAAGATCCAGAGGAGGGTATGGCAACCCACTCCTTTATTCTTGCCTTGAGAATCCCCATGGACAGAGGATCCTGGCAGGCTACAGTCCATGGGATGCAGAGAGTTGAACATGATTGAGCGACTAAGGACAGCATAGCACGTGCTTGATATGACTGCTTACAGTACTGTAGTCTTGTCAGAATTTGTGGGAAGAAATTTGACTAATGACTGTTAATCCTTTTGTTTTATTACAATTTTTTAAAGGAAAACACTCTAGGTTTCATAAAATCAATTTAAGAAAAACAAGGTAATAACTATTTTAGTTTTTTATGTTTAAGAACATTACAGTCTTTTTCTAAATTTCTACCTATTTATCAACACAGGTATGATAACATAGAGTGAAAAATAATGGAACTATGTATCATGAACTATTCTCAGCCCCCTTGTTGTTTTTGCATTTGTTTCCCCATCTTCATTTTCGCTGCCTCTCAACAGACAAATTGAAAGTGAAGTCGCTCAGTCGTGTCCGACTCTTTGCGACCCCATGGACTTTAGCCTACCAGGCTCCTCCGTCCATGGGATTGCCATTTCCTTCTCCAGGGGATCTTCCTGACCCAGAGATCGAACCCAGGTCTCCTGCATTGCAGGCAGACACTTTAACCTCTGAGCCACCAGGGAAGCCCCAATAGACAAATTAAGCAATAATTAAAACATTGTTTTGATATTATTAGTATCTACCTACAAATACAATTCTGAATAACTTCCATAAACTTGTCTTTAAAAGGAAGTAGAATAGCCCAATGGTCAAAGTTAAGGGGCCAGATCCATTTAAGTTGGAATTTAGCTCAGCTGTTTTCCAGCTTTGTCTTTGACAAGTCCTTCACTCTCTTTACATCTTCGTTTCTTTATGCATACAATTGGGATGCCTACTCTGATGGCTAATTTATGTTTTAACTTGGCTCAGCCAATGGATGCCCAAACACTTGTCAACATTATTCTAGGTATGTCTGTGAGGGTGTTTCTGATGATGTTGACATTTGAATCTGTAGACAGAGTAAAGCAGATTGTAATTCTTAGTGTGGTATACCTCATCTAATCAGGTGAAGACCTGAATTGAACAAAACGTCTGTAACTGTTTCTTTCTTGTGACTAGTATCATGAACATTTCCTCATATTATTAATTACCTTTCTATTTTCTGTTTTGTTTTTTTGACTACTTGAGATACTTCATATGAGTAGAATGATAGATGATTTGTTCTTTTGTGACTTTGTTTTTTCATTTAGCATCATGTTCTCAAGTTTCATCCATGTTGTAATATGTGATAGTCTGTTGTAGGCATATACCACAATTTCTTCATCCAGTCATCTGTCAATGGATACTTGGGTTGCTTCTACCTCTGGGTATTATGAATAATGCTATGATGAACATGGGGTGTATGAATATCTCTTCATGATCTTGCTTTGAGTTCTTTTGGATGATGCTATATTTTTCAGTTCAGCTCAGTCGCTCAGTTGTGTCTGACTCTGCAACCCCATAGACTGCAGCACGCCAGACCTCCCTGTCCATCACCAACTCCTGGAACCTACCCAAACTCATGTCCATTGAGTCAGCGATGCCATCCAACCATCTCATCCTCTGTCATCTCCTTTTCCTCCTGCCCTCAGTCTTTCCCAGCATCAGGGTCTTTTCAAATGAGTCAGCTCTTCGCATCAGGTGGCCAAAGTATTAGAGTTTCAGTTTCAACATCAGTCCTTCCAATGAACACCCAGACTGATCTCCTTTAGGATGGATTGGTTAGATCTCCTTGCAGCCCAAGGGACTCTCAAGAGCCTTCTCTAGGTTACAGAGCGGAGAGAGTGAGGAGGCTGCATCTGGCTCCCGCTCTCACAGCCATTGCAGTACATTGAGCTCCATAGAGACAGTGCCGGGGCAAGTGAGAGCCAGACGGGCACTGGGCGACTCTGTGCCTCGTGGAGGAAAAATAATTAAACATGGGCAAAGGAGATCCTAAGAAGCCGAGAGGCAAAATATCATCATATGCATTCTTTGTGCAAACTTGCCAGGAGGAG